TACTATTGTATCAGGTATGTCATGCAGCACTATAATAACACTTCAGGCAGAATTACAATTCGTTTATGCTTGAATTAGTACTATTGTTTAGTTCGATAGTAATTTTAATATGTTCATTCATGGATTATTTAATCATTAGGAAAAAAGTTAAAAATTAATCAACCTTAATTCTTCTCACATCAAAAAGTTTCTTCTCTAAGTACACATATTGTAAAGATTAAAAAGAACGTCACAAATTCAAACCTTTTGAAGGACCATTAAACAAAATGTTAAAAGAGTTTTAACTTATACGGATATTATATCAAATAGCAAATTTTTAAATATAATTAGGTCACTTTTATTAGGTTACAAAATCTCACTTTTATGGAGTGTTACCTATAGATCTTTTGGATGACCTAACAATATAAAAAAAAAAATTAAATTATCGGCGTATTCAAGTTAACTCATGTTAAAAATCCTCCTATGTGCAATTTAGTTCCAGTGTTGTTGCCTGTGGTGTTTTGGTTTTTAGAAATTTATGATTTTTTTTTATACATATGCAGGGTAATTTTTTGAGATGTCGACATTGCTTCACTATGGCAGACCAACTTTATTATTTGCATAATCTATTTGAAACTTTCATACATGGTTGTTTGAGAAAATACATAACGGACATAAAATAAAGTAGAAGTACCATTCTTAATGTGCATAATATCTTCTAACATGTCACTCATTATTCATCTAATAACTAATATAATTAAAGGTTAATGCTGCTAGAAGCCTATCTAGTTATGGATATGGAAAATCATAATCTCTTTATTCCAGTTTGATATGTTTATTATATTGCTTATCTCAGATAAATTTATTTTCCGAGCTTGGTATTTTCTGCTACTCTTGTAAAGAAATTTATAGTCTTTTCATCGAATTCTTTTGTACTTTTAATAGCTATAAGTTATTAATTTGTACTTCTACTAATACAAATATTCATTTTCTACAAATCTAATAGCAGCTGATTGCACATAATCAAGTAGCCTCATATTATTTCGATTTCAGCATCTTAATGATTTGTTGTGTTATGGCTTTTAAAATTTTGAATCTGTTTAAAATTCCAATCACTTAGAGGATCTATCTTTGTAGGTTCGTGATTAACTTCTTCTTTTTTTGTGCTTTGAAGTTATTATTATATTAATATATTTAAATTGTAGCGAATCGCTATCCTTCATTAATTATGTTAAACTAGCCAACCTTATATAACTAATCAAAATGCTTTTCATTCTTCTTCTCCTAGACTTTTTGTACGTACATATATGAAGTATTTCATAAATTTGTTGAGTAATTTTCTTTACAATTTTGTCAAGCAGAGAACATTCTCTTAAGGAGTGTATGTATAGACGTCTAAATGAAACGGACAGTTGCAGAAAATTTTTTACGGCGCATTGAAAAATGTGGCTATGAGTATCGTCAATAGTTATATATTGTTATTAAAGCACCTACTTGTTAAGTCTGTAAAAAAGAAAAGAAAGTCCCACGTATAGAAACTTGATGAAGAAAAATTGGTAGAATATCTATGGTCTAGATTAGATGCCCAAGATGTTTAATATAATTATTTTGATGTCGGAATTAGTCTTCTGAGGAGTGTGTAAAGAAAAATCTTCTGGGGCTAAAGTGTTTAGAATGGCTACGACTGCTGTGGTGTATTATGCTTGGTGCTAGAGGAATTAAAGGATATTCCAAAATACAAAGAATGATTTTTGTATCATCAGAAAGCAAATTGTTCGAGAGATGCATTGTAGAGGGGTTTTGAAGTGAAATCTTGTCAATTGGCTTAAAAAACTCAATTTCTATCCTATTTAACTGGCTTTGGATCTTACTTCTTAGCACCATGTATTGTTGGGTGTTGTTGATGTTTTCGACTAATACTCGAGCTTCATGGCCACTAATTAGTCCTTTTTATGTACTTACATCCAAATTTTTATTAATAAAGTCTTTAATACAACGATACACCAAATTCGAAGAACATCATCAATAAAGTATAAGGTCAGATACAGCAACATGACATATTATCATCTCATATAATAAAATACTTATGATTACAATATTATAATTAATACACCAAAACTTTCATCTTTGTAGGTTCAAAAAATACCTGATTACTTGAAATTCAACTATTGTGCCGGTGTAATAACATTTTTTTAATGAATATTGCATATGTCTTGACATCAATTGCTATACACATGATTCATTCTTATTTTACATTCCATATATTTTTTATTAACAAACACAGAATATACATGCAACGCACGTACACTATAACTCATAGAAATAATATGACTTGACTTGCACTAAAAAACGAATTTTGAAAGTTTTTTTTTTTAGCAAACTAAAAAGTTAAGAAAAGGTAAAAATTACATGTTTTAATATTTATAAAAGGAATTAAAAAAAAAGAAATTTTTACCTCCTATAGCAAAGGTTAACACCTTATTTATTTTAAATAAATACCATTTAAAAAAATTATATTCTATAGATATCTTTTAATGTTTATAGCAAAATATTTAATTTTGGTTATCTCCTAACCCTAAGCCACTAAATACGCTATTCAGTTACACTATTTTTTTTCTCTCTATTTTGATACGCTATTCAATAATGAACCGGACTCACACAAACTCTGCTTCACCGGCGTGGAATTAAGCAAATCATCATCACTTAGTAGGTCAAGAATGACATCCTTGCCTCTTTTGGACTTGGCATTTCTTAAAGAAAAACTAGATTCTAAAAAAGACGACGACATCCTTGTTTTCTGATCAGATTTAGCAGGACTTTTAGATCCATGATCACCTTTTGAATTTACACCAGCAATTTTTTCCTCCTCATCACACTCGGCAGCACTTTGGATTAGAACTGCTGGTGTAGCTGACTTTAAAGTTGATTCACTAGTTTCAGGCCTCGCATCAACAACTTCTTTTTCTTGCTCATTATATACATACTCAATGGACTACTGGCTTCCGGTGAACGGCGGATTCACCGAAAATTAGGGTTTGTTCTTGAACAAAAACGGCGGAGTTTGGGGCTGAGCAACTTGATTTTCAGTTAATATATTTTAATGTATTTTCATGTATTTCATTGTATTCATTGTCTTTTTTTCATTGTAATTCAATGTATCTCGTTGTACTCCATGTATTTTGTTGTATTCACCATCTTTTTTCATTGTATTTTAATGTATCCCGCTGTATTCTATGTATTTTATTGTATTCACTGTCTCGCTATATGCCATGAATGTATTTATATGTTTTTTTTAATTAATATAATTTATGTATTCAGATGTATTATGTAATTTCTCTGAAGATTGCTATGTTTGGGGGTATTTTTCGATTGAGAATCTTTTTTATAACTGAAAATACAAAAATTGTGTGTTATAATTGAGTTTGTTAAGTTATATTAGGAGTCTTTTATGTTAATTGATTCACTTTCCGTTTTAAAAATAGTGTAATCTCCTATTTCACATCGTGAATACAGTCAAATACAATAATCCGTCCAGCTGTAATCCCATGTTTCACTCCATGAATACAGTCAAATACACTCGATGACAACAACTGATTAGCTGAACTTCCCTGATTCATGCATATTTTTGATGAATACAATAGCCTAAATACATCAAATACATCTTATAACCACAGAAAAGGTATCTATAATCTGTAATATAGCAAATGGTGTCTATAGATAACTAATTACTACTAAAAAATTGTGCTTTATGAAAATTTCTCTTAAAAAATGAAAAGGGTCTCTCATAAAGCATTAGCAGCCAATCCAACCTTGTTCAAATTCTTAATTCCTTGAGGAACACTTCGTAAGTTTAAAATCGTATTTTGTCATGATTTTAAAATAGAAATTCGCTGAATTTGGTCCTTAAATTCTTGCATTTTCTTGTTAACATCTCTACGTTTCCCACCCACCTTTTTCTATTTCCTTTTTTGTCCTCTTTCCATAATTCTCCCAACTTGATTTTTTGCAATCATGTCCTTTTTGCTAACATAATTCTGCGTTTGGTTTCATTTCCAAATAATTTAAAATGACTTTCATTACATTGACTCACTTTACTGTTTTCTCAACTTCCCTTCCATATGCATAACAATCTAAGTAGACGTTTGGGCATATAAATTATAAAAAAAATTTACAAAAATAGTATTTGAAGTGAAATTGAAAAATGGTAATTAGAATTTGAAATTATGTTTAGACATACATTTCACTTGAAAAAAATATTACAGTAATGTGGGGGAAAAAATTTCTGAAAATTTTGAAAAACTCATTTTCGAATTTTTTATAAAAACTTGCAAAATTTATTAGACAAACACATTTTTCAAAAAAAAAATTTTAAAAAAGAGAAAATTATGGACAAACGGGGTTATAAATATTGAAAATTTATTCCCCATAGATTTTTAGGAACATTAGCTTGTCTAATCGTAAGAAAGTTTGTACCTCACATAATTTGGAAGGGATATCTTTTGGAATATCTGCTATCTCTTATCAACACAGGCAAGGCGGAGCTAGGCAGATAAAAGGGGGTTTGGCCAAACCCCCATCACCGAAAATTAGGGAAATGTGGCGAGTCATTCAACTACCCAATCCCTAATCACCAGAGATCAAAATAAAGGGAAATTTGGCTGAAAATAGAAGGTTAAACTCCGTAAAACAAGATAGCAGCTAGATCCCTAAAACAAGATAAGCTAAAACCAAGAATAGAGCATCTGGAAAAATGATGAGCAAGTGGAGCGGACAACATGCTAATCTAAGGCAGAGGTGGAAGTATATTCCAAGCAGCCACAAGCAATGATAGATACTCTGCAGATTTTTTATGAAAAATGATGTGCAAAAGCAACATCAACCCAGTAATCATCCCACTAGTAGGGTCTGGGGAGGGTAGAGTGTATGCAGACCTTACTCCTATCCTCGAGGGGTAGAGAGCCTGTTTCCGGGAAACCCTCGGCTCAAAGACAAGATGTGCAAAAGCAATAACACAGAAAATATCATCCAAGGGACAACACAAGATGCTAATTATTCATGAAAATATCAGTTCTATTTCAAAACATGGACATAAAAATAGAGTACAATTAAAGAGTAAACAACTGACGACGCAGCATCCCCATTATCACTTTCCTCAAGAATCAACAATGGCCTTATTCAAAACTGAAGCCACTTCTATTATCACATACTGAAGCCACTTCTATTATCACATACACTCCCCATGAGTTGAAAAAGCAATTTAGGAAATGTTAGCAATTTAGGTAAGGCAGGAATATGCCAATGCTTTTTCCTCGGATAGTTCCTCAGCTGTAGCGTCCAACTTCTTTCTTGAGAACTCATCAATTGGAAGACCTGGACGCACGAATAACAAATAAAATACTTTAAGACCCTGCCGACAGGCAACTCATACAAATTTATAGCACCACCAAGGGAACAAAATACTCCTACATAGATGTTATCTAAAGAGAGAAAAGGAGAGCAATAAGGAACCTTCAGACCAAGGTTTAACACCAACAAAAAAAAAAAAAAAAAAAAAAAAAAAAAAAAAAAAACCAACAAAAGAAAAGGAAGACAGATTTCTCATGAATACTATATGTCAAAACATCAAAAAGAAGGCAAATCAAATACAGAAGGAACAACTCAGTTTCATTAAAAAACAGATAAGTGATATCTAAATTGCAAAATTCAACTTCCACTATATTGAGAGCAAAAAATTTCAGAAAAATCATTAGGTAACATCTAAAACTTCAGACAAGGTTGGCATTTTTTATTAAGCCATGCCAATAAATGGCTTTTTTATGAAAATTATTAAGCCATATAGACAAATAGCTTTTTTATGAAAACCAGTAAAGGCAAATTAACGTCCAATTTTTAATATTTTCCCCAGAAGCCCCTTCCACAAACATGTTGTGACAATCATTGAGGCTAAAGATGGCTAACACAAGGAATCCGAATCCCATAATCCTACACCATGATTTATGACTCTGCTTAATTCACTTTCCCCGCCAATCCCAAACTAACAATTTGGCTGACTAATTGAGGTTAAAGAGAGAAACTGCTGAAAACGACAAACATAATAGGAGCCCAACATGACATAGTGTAATACTTAGTTGAGTCAACGACAATATCTGAATGCAACTAAATGCTTTTCACTAACCTTGAACAATAGACCATTCTCCATTTTTGCATGCAACTGGGAAGGAATAAATAAGCCCAGCTGGGACATTGTATGACCCATCAGAGTAAACACCCATAGAAACCCAAGTTCCCTGCAACATTTGGTTAGAGGAAGAAATGAGATAAGCACTACTTGCGATTTAAATCTACCAAATATCTGCACAAATAATTCCTTTATTTTATATACAACAAGGCCCCAAGTTAAAAAATTTACCTCTGGAGTTCCAAGGACCCAATCACGTATGTGATCACAAGCAGAACTAGCAGCGGAAAGGGCGCTAGAAAGCTTTCTAGCCTTGATAATGGCAGCACCCCTCTGCTGTACAGTAGAAATGAACTCACCATTCAACCTAAATAAAAGGAATACAATTATCAGTTAATACACAAGCTGGGAAACAACAAGTCACTGATTCATTATACCATGCATCATCAGCCACAAGTTCACGGACTGGCTTCTCTCCAGCTGGTGTTGCAACTGTTGCATGGTTGACATCAGGGTACTGTGATGATGAGTGGTTTCCCCAAATGATGACATTTTTAACATCGCTCACTTGAACATTCAGTCTCTCTGAGATTTGACCTAGGGCCCTGTTATGGTCCAACCTTGTTAGACAGGAAATGTTCTTCTCAGGAATGGATGGTGCATATTCTTTCAAGATCAATGCATTTGTATTGGCAGGGTTAGCAACGACCAACACCTGGAAGAGACAAAAGGGAAAAGTTTTAATACCTCAAATGGAATGAAGTTGCACAACATACACATGGAAATCCTGAAACCAGTTCATCAATGCATCCATTGACACAAACAGAAGGCAATAAAAACAGTCATTTTGCAGCAGAATGGACTTATGAAAGTAACACATAAGATGAAAATCACAAGCCTGTTCCATACATATTCTGATTACTTGCTTGGAAACTTTCATCAACAACATAAGACATTAAGTTGACAATAAGCATCATGTAACTACTCTCCCTGACTTAGGTGATCTATTCAGCTAATTTTTCTGTAAGTTTCATCAACAAAATAAGACATTAAGTTGGCAACAAGCACCACGTAACTATTCTCACTGACTTGGGTGATCTATTCAGCCAATTGATCAATTACTTCCACAGTCAAATAGAAGAATAATCTGATCCAATAGCTAGAATTATATCATGCAATGCTGAACACTGGGTGCAATTTATAAAAAAGAGAAGCTAGCATAAAAGACAATCTAAAAACAGATCTATATACTTTGCCCGACCTTGCAGTTGGGAGCTGCATGCTTCTCCAAAGCAGAAGCCTGGGACTTGTAAATAGAAACATTCTTGGACATCACATCTTTTCTCTCCATGCCTTCTTTCCTGGGGAAACCTCCAACCATGACCGCAACGTTAACACCAGTGCATGCTTCAACAGCATCAGTTGTGGCAACAACACCTGACACATACATAGCAAAACATACCATTTAGCCCATGTTTATTTCCGACAAGTAATAAAATGACAAAGCATTAAAGTTACACGAAGCAAGGGCACCAACCCTTAAGAAGAGGGAAGGCAGCATCCACTAATTCCATCTTCACTCCATTCAATGCCTCTGCAGCAGGTGGAATATCCAACATGTGGAGAATTACAGGCTGATCTGCACCCAACATCACTCCCCTGGCAATCATTGGAACCAAAGCATATCCAATTTGTCCTTAAAAAAACAGAAACAAACACTATCCCGTTATCATAACATTCCAATCAACTCCATATTTTGGAACCAATAAAAACTTTAAAAATTGCAACTTTAGAAAAAACAGTCTTAAATCCTTGAAAATAGATTTTGGGAAAGTACCTACCTAGCCAATCTTCATACTTATCTAATGCAGGAGATGCTTTTCCAAACCATGAATCCATAAATTTGCATGACATAATATTATTACATGTTGGTTTTCCATTTTTGAATCATATGCATAACAGACACATCAACTCAATCATGCTCCATCAATAACAACTACACCTCAATCTCAAACTAGTTGGGCATGGTGTTAAGAATAGTGAAACCATTTCGTTTCATTTAGACCTCCTTATTGAGATAATTGAGAGTTTAGGAATCTACCGAGTTATCGGAAGAAAAAAATCATGGTGAATTAAATTAACAGAATTTCTGATCATCAGAATTATAGGCAAAAACTAGAATACAGGCTTATCTTTAAAATACAATTGACATCACCAGTCAACACAGTTAAGACCAAGTGGTGAAACAACAAATATGTCACCTCAAGGAAATGAATCAACTACAGTAAACAAAGTAATACTCCCCTGGACCTTTTTACTTGTCCAATATGCATTTTGCACACCCCTTAAGAAAATATTAATTAAGTATTTATTTTACTAGATTACCCTCATTAATCTCTATTAATACTATACTTTTAAATCTCCATTCTAGCAACAAAAGCAATGATTTGAAACCATATGTTTCAACTTGAATCTTAATAATTGGAGCCACAATGTTTGAAACATTAATACTATCCCCCATTGCTTTTTACTTGTCTAGTATACTAAAAATAGATTTTTTTTATTCTACTTGTCCACTTCAGCAAATCAAGAGGGACTAATTTGTACTTAATTTTCCCCATATCATTAAGTAACTATTTCCCAAGCCATTTCCCCAACTTATTTGTAATTGCAGTGGGCAACTACAACAGCTTCCCATTTTGGCTCCAGTATATAAAATGTTTTTTACTCAGGATATTGGTTCTACGGGAGTACTAAGTGATGGGACGGCCACTTAGAGGCCACAACAAGACTACCATAGGGTATCCGCCTCCACTAGCTAAAATAGAAACATATTCTCAAAATAGCAATAGTCTCTAGGTGAATCTCTTCCTGACCAACCAGGCTGAATCGGGCACCACTTGGGATGGGAATGACTCAACCCACATGCATCATAGTACTCCATATCATAGAATGAATATCTAGAGTAAAAGTAATTTATAAAGTGGAGACAAGTTACTACTCCGTAGTATTGTTGCGTCAGCTTGGGAAATCGAAGCTGCTGTAGTTGCCCATTGCAATTAATATGCTTTGGAAAACTAAATTTCACTCCTATCACTTCAGTAAGTTTTGAGATAGTTACTTGATAAGGGTAAAAATGGAAAAAAATTAATTCTCTTTTAATTTGCTAGATCGGGCAAGTAAAAAGGAAAGGAGGGGATATTAATGTTAAAACATTCTGGCTCCAATTACTAGTTGGCTTCAATTACTAAGTTCAAATTGAAACTCTTAATTTCAAATTATTGCTTCTGTTAATATAATTGAATTTTAAAAGTGATAGCATTAATTTAAATTACTTATTAACATTCATAAGGATAATTTAGATAAAGAAACTTAAATAATATTTTCTTAAGGGGAGCACAAAATACATACTATACAAGTAAAAACGAGTTGCAAGGTTACTTTGTTTGATGTTGTTGATTCATTTCCTTGAGGAAGTCAAATTTGACTATTTTATTTGACGCTATTTACCACTTTCTATTTTAGATGACTGAAGTTGACTCCTTTTGGAACGGGTGGAGTATTAACTTCACATCACATACAGGAAAACATAGTCCCAAATAAATTAACGAAGGATCAAACAGATCAAGAGTTAAATCAAAAGCAACAACAGTAAACAAGTAGATCTCTGATTAAATCCGATAAGCATCAACACTAAATATCAATCGAACTTCCAAGTCAAAATGAAGTAAAACAGCAACAGATCTGAGCCATAAAAACAAAAAGAAAACAAAAAATAAGCTTTAAGAACAGAACAACTACCGGCGGCACCGGTAACGAGAACGCGAACTGGATCTTTAGCCATTTTGTAGAAGATGTAGAAGTTTCCGATGAGCGATGAAAACTATGATCAGAGCTGGGAATGAGAGTGTGAAGGGAAGTGAGAGTACAAGGAGATATTTATTGGCATGAGACGAGCGGTCCATATGACGCCGTTAGGAACCTGACGACGACGTTTCGATGTGTTTTTTGAAGATAGCCTCGGGTTGTGAGATTTCGTTTGGGGGAGGTGGGGTCCCTAGAATCCGCCGTGGGTTGTGCAATATGATGGAAAATATTCTTCTTTTTTAATAAATAGAAGGGAAAAGATATTGAAATTATGATGATTCTAATAAGTTGACACTTGACATTTGTTTTAGAGTTTTGTAAGAATTGAGTTTGCAATTTATTTTTCTAAACTCTTAAGAAAGTATATCTTTTATATGTTTTTTAAATGAAAAGTATTTTTCGAAATATTTCTAATTAAAATTTTAAATCCTAAGAAAAATCTAAAACTTTGAATACTAATTTTTGAGTTTTTAAGAAAATTCAAAAATTGAGCTTAGAAATCTTCAAAAACAAATCAAAAGGAATTTATTTTCTAATAACTCAAAATGAGTTTGCAACTAATATTTACAAAGTGGTGAAATAAAAATAATGTTTATTTAAAATTCGAAAGATAAGTGCCACCTAAATTCTAACAAAGGAGTGGTCCATGCGTGAGGCTTACGTGTTATCAAACAAGTAAATGGTTCCTTTTTTTCTTTTTTTGTAAGTTCTTTATTGTTTTCTTTTGAGATTTTTGTTTTGTATTTGTGCCTTTTCGAGAAAGAAAAAGAGGTTTTTTTATGTTGGCTTTTAGGACTAGTGAAGCATGCAGAAATCATAGCAATAAAACATGGAAATTATCATAAAGGAAAATTTGCTACTAATAGAATCTGAAACAAAATTGTAAGAAAGTTATATGTTTCCTAACTATAACAAATTAACAATCAATACTTGAATATGATTGATTATGCAGTCAAGAAAAGTAATAAGGCAGCATATGCTAACAAACATGAAAGTAACTTAAAAGATTTTGATAGTTTAATGATTTAGCTAATTCTAGTCCTAAAAAAGATAAACGATCGTTGTAAATATAATTTGGTCTAAGAGGTATAATTAAAGTTTAATTATAATTGTTCGCTATTATTAAGAAAATAAGTTGGAACAATTTTCTAAATTATAAAAATTGAGATTTTTATTTCTAACTAATTAACTAACAAATGATAGAAAACAATAAAATTATCAACTAACCAGGATAAAGTTGGAGACAAGATTAAGGAGGTCTAGAATTATGATTTACCCATTTCTCGAAATTCTTTCTGTTACGTCTTCTATAATTTCGCCTAAGTGTTCTCCACTGATCATGAGCAATTCATGTGTTGTAATGTTCTTCCGAGCAACTACAATAATTTACTATATATATTATCTCTGTTGGGCACATGCCCATGTTGTCCAGCCAAAGGCCCAATGACCTAATTCTATTCTCTTTTGGTTTTCATTCCTATTTGGAATTGGATTCGGTTTATTCCAATTTTGAGTGGGTCTTGGCTTTAAGAGAAAGCACCACTCATGATCTATAAATAGGACAACCTTAGAGAATTATTCTATGCTCATTGATACAAGTCTTTGAAAGACTTAAGCACATAAGAGTGATTTTTGAGAGAGCTTTCGTCAAGAGATAAGAGAGAAGAAAAATATTTGTTTTGCTGCAGATTTTTATTCCGACCAGCCAACTTCAAATCACGTTTACTGCTTCGTTAACCTTTGGATCGGGCTGAAATTTTGTTTGAGTGTTTGCAACATCTTGGTCTTGGATTTGGACGGTGGAGATCGGATTTGGAGTCACGTAGTATCTTATTTCGAGCCTTGAACAGCAGCTTCGTTTTTATGGATTATACTCTTTCTTCAATTGATTAGTTGTTGTTCTTATTGCTATTGTTGCTCCGTGTTTGGCGCTTGTTGTGTTGCCAATTTGAAGAACTTTTGTAACCCTCTTATTGTTATAGTGGAGCTTTTTGGATCTTTGTGATCCCGTGGTTTTTACCTTCGATTTGAAGGGTTTTCCACGTTAAAATTTGGTGTTCTTTATCTTCTTTATTTTCAGGTTTGCCTCTTCCTCGGCATAACAGTGGTATTAGAGCCTTGGTTATTTATCCGGGTTGTTACGGAATGGAGGCGAATATGAGCAAGATGGTATGTTTAAATGGGAAAAATTATAATGTTTGGAGAAGCAAGATGAAAAACTTGTTGTTCGTGAAGAAGATGCATCTACCCGTTTTTTCAGCTCATAAACCCAAGAGTATATCCGATGAAGATTGGAATTTCGAGCACTAACAAGTATGTGGATATATACGACAATGGGTTGAAGATAATATTCACAACCATATTATGAACGAGATACATGTGAGATCATTATGAGAAAAGCTAGAGACTCTTTATGCTTCAAAAATCGGAAACAACAAATTATTTCTGCTAAAGCAATTGATGACCTTTAAATACAAGGAAGGCAGCCCTATCCTTGATCACATAAATGATTTTTAGGGCGTCCTTGATCAGCTATCTGGAATGGGAGTTAATTTTGATGATGAGATACAAGGACTTTGGCTTCTTAATACTCTGTCAGACTCTTGAGAAACTCTTTGTGTTTCTTTGACAAATTCAGCTCCTGGAGGTAAGGTGGCCATGGAATATGCCACAAGTGGTATCAGAGCGAGGTTCAAGACAGGTTCATCTTGGCGGGTTCAATTCTAGCCGCAACATATTTGACGATAATCGTGATTTTTATCTGAGAAATTTGACCAGTGTGCTATGCACGTTGAGACAAACTTTGTGGTGGAGATTTGGAGATGCAACATGTTTAAGGCTATGTGAAGAAGGTGGATCAAGTTTATTTTGTTAGAAAATTTCGGCCAAGGGGGAGAATAGTTAGGTGTTTGCCATAATTTTCTTACCATATTTGGTTTTCCTATTTGTTGAAGGAAACGGCAATATAATTACCTCAATTGGGTTTTCCTTTTTGTAGAAGGAAATTATAATTCTCTTATACTTGGCTAGTCCTTTTTCTTGTAGGAAAAGGTTTGGAATTCTATAAATTGAAGATCCGTCCTTCTCATTCAGTAGCATCCACAATGTAGCCATAGGGGCTTGAGAGTAGTGCTTAGGGGGAGAACTTAACGAGACAAGTGTTAGTGTGTCACTTGTGTTTGCCTCTTCGTGAAGTTGTTCTCTCGATATTTTGTACTCTCTTTTTATATAGTGGATTGCTCATCTCCGCACGTGGACGTAGGTCAGTTGACCGAACCACGTTAAATGTTTGTGTCTCTTTTGGTATATTTTTCCTTTGTTGTATGATTTATCGTCGCTCAAGGTTTGCTTTGCTAGCTTCCGTATGACACCTGATGTTTACGGTCCTAACAATCTCAAACTACGTTAGCGGGCACTATCTTACCGCTCATTATGATCATGTCAAGGTTTGTTATTCCTAAACCCCTTTAAACCTGCCGTATTGATTCTTTGCATACGTTAGGAGTGACATTATTCAAAAATCACCTAAATATGCACCATTTTTCAAGTAATACATAATAAATCGGCAATCAATCGATAGTCATTCAATCAACTAAAATAAACACGTAGTTGAACAAAAGAAATTCATCCGCTTAATTATATAATAACGTAACAAGAACTTATCTTACAAAAGGTTACATCAAAACCCTAAATAAGAAATTAGTTATTTATAATAGTGTCTAAACTACAATATTAAAATTCATAACCAATAACGAAAAATTAAAGGAAGAAAAGAAAAAACTTGTTGCCGAATCTTTTCCTTGCTCCTAACATATTTTTGACTCCAAAAGTATTCTCCCACTCCAAAGTAGTGCCTCCCTTTCCGAGCGATCATTTTAGGATGTATTTATTATCAATTAGGATTTGTATGGGTGAATTTTATTTATGTTGTTTCGGATTGAAAAAGCTGGGGGAGCGTCCAGACACATGACCCATATGCTCCCCAGTTGTTGTTTCCTTCTGCTTCGGTCCCTGTTTGGCGAAATTAGCTCATTTTGCTGCCCTGTACTATTTATCAGACTTTTTTCCATCAATTTTCTTCTATTTAATCCTTTTCCGTGCAAGTTCAGTGCTACACATAATAATTACGTAATGAACATATTTCACGTCAAAAGCGATATGAACAACTCACACAAAAAATAATATGCAAACTTATTCAGAAACATGCACTTTTCATTCTTCATCAATACACTTCCTTCTTTTGTTTTATTATCTTTTTTATGAAGATGATTGTTTTGGTACTATGTACCCTAAATAAATCAAGCTATGTGCTTAGCCTTAATAATATTAATATTAGTTTTCTTTGACAAAAAAAGTAGAGCATCTGAATACAGGATATGCTTTCAAAAGTGAGAGTACTTTCAGACTATTGTTTTGTCATATTTGTTTATCAATTTATTAATGAAGTATTAATCACTAATATATATCGTTATCAATCTAACGCACATGGTTTAGTCATGAAGGTAGTAGTTTGTGACGGTGATAATAAGTCTCTCCAAATTCTTTATTTGTTTGTCATCATGTTTGTTAGTAAAAATTGTATTTTAGTTTATGCTTAAATACTTTTTTTTCTCTAGTCGTTGTTAGGTATTCATGATATTATAGCCTCGATTAATCTGAATTCGCACCATATAAGGCTTATAAAGGGAAAGTGCTCTCTAGCTATCAAGGTTTTTTTCATTCCAATGTTTAAACCCGAATTCTCTAATTAAGGATGCTGGAATTCTATTCATTACACCAAAACTCTTTACGGTAAAATCCAAACAATTGGTCAAAAGTGAATCTTTGTTTTATTATTTGGAAGTTGTAATTGCAAAATTCTTTGACTGAAATATCAAACCGAAACTTAATGTATTACGTAGTTTCTTTGGCAGCAAACAAGCACAGTATAAAGTGCACACAAAATAAAAGTATGTTATCCATACGTGTATTAGACTCATAGTATAACCTACAATTGATAGAATCTTTTAAATATTTTTTACCTTCAACATACTCATAAATTGTATTTCTAATACAGTTTAAATTACGTGTTGTAGTTCAATTTGCAACTCACACTCTGGAAAAAAAAACAGATACTGGTTTAATATAACTATATGAAAAAGGATAAAATTGTTCTATAAAATCTGTGAACTGCCTTGATTAATTACATAGCCTAGATTATCAAAATCTAAAATAGCCAA